TTTCTATCTAAACATATGTGCAAGCTACAATCCAAACGCTTAGCACATATGTAGGGGGAGCAATTGCTACCATATGGGATTCATGAAACTTGTCCATATCCTTTTACACATGGTAAATATGCTTGGGCAAGTAACATAGATTCAAATGAATTTCAATTCATATCTTTGTGAAAGGGTTGTCATCAATTACCAAAAAAGGGGAGATTGAAAGCTCTAGTTTGGTTTTGGTGAATTGATGAAACCCTATGTGCTAACCTAGTTTATCAAAGTGATTATGAGATAGGTGGCACATTCCAAGTGGTGAAGCAAATGAAGATCATGACATGATGATGGTGATGCCATGGTGATGATGAAGTGCTTGGACTTGAAAAAGAAGAAAGAGAAAAACAAAAATCTCAAGGCAAATGTGAAATTGATAGAGGTTTTTTGGTTTAGTGATTGAGACACTTAGCGAGTGTAATCACATTTAGGATCGATATGCGTACTATTAAGAGGAGTGAAATTCGTATCGAAATGCGGTTATCAAAGTGTCACTAGATGCTCTAACTCTTTGCATATGCATTTAGGATCTAGTGGAAAGCTAACACCCTTGAAAATATTTGTGAAAATATGCTAACACATGTGCACAAGGTGATATACTTGGTGGTTGGCACATTTGAGCAAGGGTGGAGAAGTTAGTGAAGTTAAGGAGGTGATTGTCACTGAGAAATAGTGACCGGACGCCGGTCATGTAGTGACCAGACTCGGGGGAGCAGCGTTCGGTCGTTTATAAAATCAGTGGTGTGCTCGGGCTACTCTCGGCCTGAGACCGGACGCAGGTGACCGAATTCTGGCTGAACACTGTTTAGCGTCTGGTCCAGTTGACGTGGCGGCGCACAGAGAAGCGGGTAAGCGACCGAACACCAGGCGAGTCCGGTCGGGCGTGACCGGACGCGTCCGGTCGTGAAAAACCGTCTCTGAAACCTTACTGGAAATGATCAGACTCCAGTGATGGAGCATTCGGTCACTTTGAGCAGCGCGTCCGGTCGCAACTTATCGTGTGGAGTGAAGCTAACTAGCCGTTGAGATCGCATGGACGAGGTTAAACCGAGGGGCCACATGGCGCGCATCGCGCGACCGGACACTGGGTGGCGTGCGTCCGGTCACCCCGACCTGCGTGTTCGGTCGGTGTGCAGTAGGGTGCTCTGTGAGCCCAATGGCTCTATTCATGGGGGGTCTCTATTAAAACCCCATGGTTGGCTCTAGCTCACTCTCTTGGCCATTTGTATTGATATAGCAATCTTGTGAGCTTAGCCAAAGCCCTCCCACTCATCTCCACCATTGATTTATCATCTTTGTGAGATTGGGAGAGAATCCAAGTGTATTGCTTGAGTGATTGCATCTAGAGGCACTTGGTGTTCGTGTTTCGCTGTGGGATTCACTTGTTACTCTTGGTGGTTGCCGCCACCTAGACGGCTTGGAGCAGCGAGGATCGTCGAGCAAAGGTTGGTGATTGTCTCCGGCTCCTATCACGGTGATTGTGAGGGGTCTTGTGCCTTCCCCGGCGAAGCGTCAAAAGGTAACCTAGTGGATTGCTCATGTCATTGAGTTACCTCACTTGTGGGTAGGTTCTTGCGGTGTCCAATAGTGTGGATGAGGTTCGTGCAACACCTCTTAGTCGCCGAACCACCAAGTGTTGGTCGACACAACGGAGACTAGCGTGCTGGCAAGCACGTGAACCTCGAGAGAAAAATTGATTATCTCTTGCCCTTTAGTATTCTCCTAGTGATTAAATTGGTATTCATCTTGTGATTGGTTCACACCTCTATGCGGTGGTATAATCACCCTACCCATTCCTTTATATTCTCGCAAACTAGTTGTAGCAAGCTCTTTATTGTAGCTAGAATTGAGAGCTTGCTTTGTAGTTTAAATTCATCTAGTGGAGCTCTTTAGTGTAGCAAGTGTGAGAGCTCTTAGTGAGTAGTGACTTATCAAATTGTGTGTCTAAGTGATCATAGTAACTAGAATTGTTGGATAGGTGGCTTGTAACCCTTATAAAGCTAGAGCAAATTTGCATTTCGCTATTTGTCATACTAATAAAATTGTTCTAGTTGGTTTGTAGATTTTTAAATAGGCTATTCACCTCCCCTCTAGCCATATTAGGACCTTTCACTAGCTTGGTAGCTTGGTATGTGTAGTCTTATTTTAAGAGTTGTTGTTGCCTAAATACTAAATTGTTGCATCTTCATCATCGCATGCATATAGAGAATGAGCTGGTGGAGTTCGTGATCACCGACGAGGAGTACGAGGAGAGAATGAGTTGGTGGAGTTCGCGATCATCGGCGAGGAGTATGAGGAGATGGTCGATGAGTACGAGGAGGAGTTCCCCGTGCAGGAGGGAGTCCTAGAGCTGACTGACGCAGCTGACACCACGTTTGCCCAAGACAAGTCCCGATGCATAACCCCTTATTTTGAAAATCACATGCATAGATATATCTATCCTATGAGTCTTACTAGTACAGTTTCGAGTAGCTGCTATGCTTAGGTTTTTGGTAGCGTGAGTAACCTGCCGTTACTCATAATAGGTGATTATAATTACTCTCATGATAAAATGATGAAAGGAAAAATGAAGACCAGGCAGGGATATGGTATGGGTTATGGTGGGTGTGACGAGTTGTATCCCGCGGCCACGGGCTCAGCTTGGTTGCACTGTTTTTCCTGTCCGTGTCGATTGAGGACAGTCCGTTGCTGTGGATGGTAGTCAGGTCATAGATTTATTATCCCGAGCACATACTTGCTTATGGGAGCGGGAAGGCTCGTTGCTCTCTTATCGTGGGTTCCGGCTCTTTCCGGACCGACTGATTAGAGGCGGGGAAAGGTGGAGGTCTAAGCACCGCACTGAGGCCGGACCTCAAATGTGAGGGCTTTGGAGTCCAAGTTTGGACGGGGACCTAGACCGCATGACAGGAGAGTGATGGGTTGGTCTTGCTTGTGCCTGGGGTACAAGCGGGACGTATGTTTTGGGGTACCTAGCTGGACTACATTGATTCGTGAATCGCCGTTTCTACATGACGGTACGACTTGGCTATGGTCCAACACCATAGTAAGAACGGGAATATGAAAGAAGGTGAAATGATTTTGATTGCTCAACCTTTGTTTGAAAGTAGAACAGGTGCTTACCTAGAATGGTTAGTTAATGAAATAATCATGGTTGCTAATAAAACTGATAGTAAGAACGAATTATTAGTAATGCTTTCCTCAAAACAAAAGAAACCCAGCAAGCCATACTGTCTATCATATCTTTGAGAGTCGGAAAAATTATTCCTACTAGTAGGGTAAGTCTTGCGAGTGCATTGTGGACTCAGGGTTTATTTACCCATGTTGCAGGTGCAGCTTGAAGAGTAGCTTTTGTGTGAAGAGGATTCTTTTGGTGGGCACAGACGGATCCTTGTATCTTACCGCTAGTTGTTTATTTTGATTTCCGTTGTTTTATTTATTGCACTCTGAACACTGGTATTATAATAATTTCTAAGGCTCTATGTTATATGAAATGAACTAAGTATTATAAGCTCGCACTCATTATTGGATCCTGGTGTGAAAGTGGATTGTTTCGAGTTCTCCCGTAGGGTGTGCTTGACGGGACCGTCCGATGTAGCTAACTTTCGAGGTGCTTAATGTCTAGTGGAAGACGAGCGCCCCGAAGCGTGTTATTTTAGACGGTTCTACCACACGAAATGATGTGATTTTTTAAAAGAGGATATTCTTACTTGCAGGTTATTTTAGAGCCACGCGTTGGACACGCTTTTGGTCTATCCTTCAGATTTAGAATGACAAGCCAACTCTAAAGTGGGCATGTCGTATGTTAGAGACTGCATCAATGGAGATCTTCGCCAAGCATGGGTGGTTGTCTTCTTTTTTAGAATTACACAGTACAACGTAGACGGTCACAACACGCACGCACACTTATCCCTATGAACACACGTACGCTAACCATATTTTTATGAGCACATCCGAAGGACTGAGCCGGCAGGTCTCGAGATTCATGAAGTCACCACATGTGTCTTGATGTCGACGAGGACGTCGCCTACTACTGAAAAACGTAGAGCCGTTAAATCCATGAAAATACGAGCACATGTGCAAAGTCAAAGACTTCGTGGGTCAATTCTAACACAAGGAACCTTCGTTGGGTGACTGTCTTCTAATAGACTTAGTGCTTAGTTTGGTGCATGAGTTTTTTCTTTGTGTTGTCTACTCTTTGAGAGCTTTTTTTCAGCCGGTAGCTAAACTTGTAATAAGGGATGATTAAGTGCATAACTTATGGAGAGGTCGGAATAAAAAAAATTTTCTAAGAATACAAGTTTGTCTGGATACAAACTTTCCCGACCTGAGGAACTTTGTGGACCGAACATCCATCCGAGACCAGGCAGCCGTGGGCAGCCCGTACATGCGTACCACAGCTACGCCTACGCGTCCCGCACGCGCCAAAGTTGTAACCTGAATCCAACTCACATGCCGGGGTCTCGATTCATGTATGTAAAAAAAAGGTAGCTATAGGCAGGCTCTGGCGCTCTGCAGGAGGAAACTCCCAAGCAATTCCCCAAAACAACGACCAAACTAATTCTCCGCAACACCGCACTATAGTCGCCACTGCCTCGCATGGGAACGACGCACACACAGGTCCAGTTTTGGGGTGCTATAAAGCAACATCAAGATTCGTGGGTCGTGGCCCAACAAAAGGATCCAGGAGCAAGGTGAAGAAGAGCAAGCCAAGGACACCGGCGGCGCCAGCTTCGTGCTACGCGACCTCACCGTCACCACCAAACTTAGGTAACTAACGCTGATCCATGCGGACCGCCGCCGGGAACGCCCTTGCGAATCCCGGCTCTCTGAGCAAACTCTCTGCTTCCCTATCCGCCTCATCCTTGCTCCATGATTCTTGCCAACTTTATTTTTATCCCTGTTGCCTTGTTCGGGGTGCAGCGCAGGTGCCGGTGACTACTCTGAAACGCCGCCGCTCGCCGATGGCCACTCGGGGCAGCACCAGCAGGGCGACGGCCACCGGCCTCGCCCTCACGCTGATTGCCGTCGGCGTGGGCGTCAGCTCCGCCGGCGGCTTCGCCTTGCTTCTCAGCTTCGCCGGGGTGCTCGCCGGCGCTAGCCTGATCGCCATCGGTGTCCGGATGGCCGACGACGACCCGACGGCGCCCATAGGCCGCCCCGGGGTGCTCCCCGCTGGTGTACGTGTACGCGCACTCGTACACTGCCTGCGCCGCAACCTCGCCCTCGTGGGCCTCCTCTTGGCTTCCTCTGCTGCCACTGCGACGGCGGCAGCGGCGGCTGCGGACAGGGAGGTGGCACCGGTGCTCTGCTTCTGCGCGTTCGCTCTCCTGCTGCTCGGCATCTCTCTCCTCAACATCGGAGTTCTTCTTCTTGGGGAACAGGAAGACTAGTAGTTGGTGCGACTGCGATTCTTGGATGCATTCATTCTCACCTGATTCCTAATTCTACAGCATTGCCCTGAGTTGCCAGTCGATCGGAAATTATTCCGCCTTCGTCACCACCGCCACTGCTGCTACCGCCGGTCATATAAGTGTGCTTGCTAGTTGCTGGATATAGTGTATAGATGTATTTTATTATGCCTACTGGTCATGTAAGATAATAGTACCGTCTTCGATCATTTTTTATCAAATGCAATGATATTTTTTAGAAAAAGGAATGGTCTTTATTTGAGCCTCTGCTGAGCTGTGCACTCAACCAAATAGAATTTAAAGTTTCAGCCTCAGACTGAAAAGCAAAAACGAGGAAAAAAGCCAAACAATAGCTATGCTCCGCGGCCATGAATAATCTATGATTTTTTTTTATCTCTTGTTCATGTATGCATATGTGACACTGAAGCCCCGTTTCTGAAAATTGGCAGTGTCATGACTTTAATTCCTGAACTTTAATTTAATCGTCGAAACTCCGAGCCTTCATTTTTGAATCTTGGCAAAGCCATGATCTGATCCTTTGGACAGATAATTTCACGGTCTGTACCCATGTAACTCATTGTCTCTCGTAGTCAGGCCCTAACTTTCATCTAACTGCTCTGGACTTAGATCCTCTCCTTGCCATACAGCAAGGCACTATGATATCGACACATGAGTGTACACTATAAGCATTGTCTGCTTAAGTTTTCCTTGTTTCCTAAGCACAACAGGGTTCGATTCCTCTAGTACTAGTCAATCCATCATCAGCGGATATGTTAGCAGATGACGGATTAAAAGATGTGGCCTCGTGGCCTATGAGAGAACGGGTTGGTGAGAATTCGAGGCCGTCTTTTTATGCATTGTGCCTTTGGATGACTCATGTGGGAATCTAAGAATCTGTAACTTCTATTTGAACTTAGTGGATCACATGTATGCGAATCTGTAACTTCTATTTGAACTTAGTGGATCACATGTATGCATGGTTGCTAGCATTTTTGTTAACGCTGACCACTCTCTTTTTTTTTAACTTGGCTGCATTAATGCTACGGTAGTTCTTCCATACGTGCTGCAATAAACTTATTTCAGAGTAGGTGCTTGTCTTATTCAGAGTAGCATTAGGTAAAAGGCTACATACTAAAAAGTCTGCTTACTAGAGGTGCCATGGAGGTTGGGCAATAGAAAAGGTATTCTCTTTGCTTTCTTGGGTATTCGGGATTCTCTTCCTCCTCAGGCAGAAAGCGGAGGGCGTAAAGCTACGTTAGGCAATGGTCCCAATCCTCTATTGTGGGCAGCAGCAAAGACTGGGCCGGTGCAGGTCGGGAAGTCAGGCAACACCACAGCCCCCTTGGTGTGCGTCGGCTGCACGAGCAAGGCAGCTGTTCTGTTCCACCATGATCCCGAGGCCGACCGAGCCCCGAGCCTATCTGGAACGTGAGAATTTCCCCGCGGTCGCCGACCCGCCGCAGTTTGCTTTCCTGTCCAGTAGACTACGATACGACCTCACGAAAGCCACATGCTTTCCTGTCCAGTCCACGGACGGACGGACGCCCCCTTATCCCCACTGCCGGCACCAAAGTCGCCACCGGTCGATCTCCTCTGCTCTCTGCTCACGTCAATTTGGCCGTCTCGTCTCGCGCCTATATATATAGAGAGCCAATCTCACTGGTCGTCTCCTCCTCATCGCGCTTAAGGATGCAAGCGGGCCGCTCTGCAGACGGGCCCGCACGCCGCCGTTCTGGCCGCAACCATGCTTAGCAGGCGAGTCGTCCAAGAAGACAACCTCGGAGACGTTTCCGAGATCGGACCTGCAGTCGTAGGTATTGGGATGATCGGCGTAGAATTGATCGGCACCGGCTCGATGGGCCCTCCGACTCCGTCAGCATTAATGATCCACGAGATCGATCCGACCGTGAAGATCTGGACGGGCTGTGGGAGGGACGAAGAGCCTACAGAATGTACCATCTTGTTAGATATAGAAACAACACGCATACCCCTACCTGACGCGTCAACTGTCGATAGAATATCGTCGGCAGTGCTCCGAAAGGTATCCCACGAAGATAGATTGATCGGCAGAGATGCGTGTAATCGAGAACAAGAAGGCAACAGAGACACACGAGTCAGATAGGTTTAGGCCGTCAGTATGATGTAATATCCTACTCTTGTGGTCTGTTGGATCGTATGATATTACGTGAGTTTGGATAGTCTGGGGGACAGGGTTACAAAGTCGGTTAGATCTATGACATAACCGGAAAGTAATAACAGATTATAAAAATTATGGGATCATACGTATCCTAACAGATCTCGTAATATCTTCAGAATATTTTCTCGGTGTCTTACAAAAGGGGTCGAGCAATATCGTGCCCTGTAAAGCTTAGTCTTGTGGACTAGACCACTCCTGGGAGCACAACCCATGTGATCTACCGTGTATCCGGGGTCCCCCACCACAGACACGGCTCCTCGCCGCACCCGCGTTGTCCGGTGTGCACGCTTGCCACGAGGGCGCCCTTGGAGGAAGAAGTCTACGGTCCGGCCGTTCGGACGACTCCACGCGCCGGCCGGCAGCACGGAAAATTTCACGGGCAGCAGTGCGTGCGGACACATGGCTGATGGCTCGCACAGGCTGGCCAATCGCGCAGGCCCCACCTCGTACACGTTGCATGTGGTGACTTTTAACGGATCAAAAAAAGTAATAACCTATAAACCAAACATTAAAATTAAATTCCGATTGCACCGTTAAGTTTCTGGTAATAAATCTTTCAAAATAAGATCCCACGTGGATATATTTAGATAAAATTTTATTAACAAACATTTATCTTACGAAGATAAAACATTTTCTTTAATTGAGTAGAGATGATGTTCTAGATTTAAAGAACAGTGTTTCGTTTTCGTAAGAAAAATGCTCTGGTTTAGAAGAACAATATTCTATTTTTAGATTCATGAAATTGCTATTATAATATTCAAATGAGTAAATACATAACATAAATAAAAAATAATAAAATTTAGAGCAAAGCAGAAGGAAAAAAATAAAAACACGTAATAGAGAAAATTTTTAAAGAACATCACAAGGATATTTTTCAAACATTCTAAAATATACCTAAAACATCACATGTATACTGAAGCCTTGTTTAGTTCCTCTCTTAAAGTTTACATCCTATTCGATCAAATGTTTAGATACTTGCGCAAATTGTAACTACTTTGCGAGACGAATCTTTTAAGCCTAATTAGTCAATGATTTGACAATAAAGTGCTACAGTAACACATGCGCAAATGTCGAATTAATTAGGCTTAATAAATTTATCTCATGGTTTACTGACGGATTCTGTAGTTTGTTTTTTTATTAGTAACCAAACACTGAAAGGTTCTAATGGTTAGAGGGGTGAATAGCCTTCTCGGTGTTTCAAACAAACACCGGCTAGTGAATTTATAATTGTTGTGCGTTAGGTCCGGATGCTGCACTAAATGACACAAGGTTTATACTGGTTCGGGCTGAATGTCCTACGTCCAGTCTATTGTTGCTCGTGTTATTAGTATCAAAAATGGTTCGTAGTAGGGGTACAAACGGTCGAGAGAGGGACATATCCCAAGTCTCTGATGGAATAGTCGAAAGGACACCAAGAGCTCGGTTGCTGCTTGGCTGCGTGTGTGATGTGTTGTGTGTCGAACTGATCCCCTTTGTGGAGTGTCCTGCCCTCCCTTTTATAGACCAAGGGGGAGCAGGGGGTTTATAGATGGGAGAAAGAGGAAAAAACCTAAGGTGGAGGTCGTCCTTCATAGGTGCCGAGCTTTCCTTTTCTCTTGAGCCTGTACCGCTGTCATGGCAGACCATGCCAGGGATGGCACGTCCGCTGACCCCGACAGGGCCACACCCTGGCCTTGCTTCAATGAGTGGTTACGTCCCATTCTCCCCGGCGAGACGGTGCGAGGTGTCAAGGCGCCGAACCATGACTCTGTGGGAGCGGACGGGGAGACGACTATACGTCTGTTACTATAGATGATGTGAGTTTTCTTGGATTGTAGCGGTTGTCGTATGCCTGTGTTAGTATCCGCGCCCGAGGGCTGAAGGCGGCGCCTACACCACTGTGGGACAAAAGTCGGCGCCTACAATACTGTTCGGGTACTGTTATGTCGGAAATGGCTTAAAGCGCCCATCCCATCGTATCCTGACGGTGCCTTCCTGCAGGCGTGTAGGGCATAGCCCTCGGTACTGCAGTTGACTCGAATGTCATGTTGTACCCTGTGCTCGTCTTTATGAAGGATCAGGATACGATCGTCGGCGAGATAGAGCCCGCCCTCGGGCGTCGGGCGAGGTGGAGTCTAGCCCTTAGCCGTCGGGCGAGGCGGAGCCCACCCTCGGACGTCGGGCGAGGCGGAGCTCGCCCTTAGCCATCGGGCGAGGCGGAGCCTGCCCTCGGGGTTGGGCGAGGCGGAGCCTAGCCCTCGGGGGTCGGGCGAGGCAAAGTCTAGCCCTTAGCCATCGGGCGAGGCGGAGTCTAGCCCTCGGTGGTCGGGCGAGGCAGAACCGATCTTTTGTCGTTCAGGCAAGAAGCGCAGTAGCATTCTTGTCTGAACGGAAGTGTCAACGTTCTATGGTTATTAGTTCCACCTCGTTGGGTACCCCGGTATTAGGTCCCCGACAGTAGCCCCCGAGCCCCCGGGTGATTCGGGCAGAATCGCTCGGGAGGTGTTTTGACTTGCCAGAGGGTGCGTGCGAGCGCACCCAACGGGTATAGCCCTCGAGTCCCTAGGTGATTCAGGCAGAATCGCCTGGGGGTAATTTCGGACCCTTCGCGGTTTTTGTTAGTTAGATAGTTTTAAGGGAACCTTGGTATCCTATTCGCGGGGATTTCATCTAGGGTCAGCCTGGCTGGGGCTCGACTGTGGATCGAGGCCCCACTGATGCTCGTGTACCTGCGTCTTAGTCGCTCGCGGACCCATCCCTTCGTTGGGATGGCCGTCGAGACTATCGGGCCGGCCCTTAGACTTTT